CAGGGGAGAAACACAAGTCACAACCCACGTGGGCAGCCCAGGCCGAGGGAGGTGCTGCGGGAGCCCCGGGACAGAGGGAGGCAGCAGAGAAGGCCTGACTCTTTGTTTGAAGGAAGGGCACTTGCCAGGAGCCTTGAGAGGCAGAGACAAGAGAGAAAGGGCCTTCCAGGCAGGGGGCCGCCTGAGGAAGGCAGGGCGGGTGAAAGGGTGAGGTTATCCTGGGCAGGCTGCAGTGGAGATGGGGGGTGGGTTGCTCATGTGTTCCCCCCCCAGGTGTCTTCCTGCTGTGGCAGGAGGGGCTCCCATCACAGGAGGCGAGTAATCGGGGATGGGGAGATTTATTTTGTCCGCGTTCCACCCCTGCCCCCCCCCCCCGCCCCCGCCTCATGCTATTTCTGGGCTCTACTCAGACCACTCACCCCCTGGCACTGCATGGTTTCCCATCTCCAGGAATGGCCCCATCCAGCTAGCCTGGAAACCGTGGGATGACGGGAGGTGGGGAAGCATCATCAAAAATCTCTTCCATAAATATAAACAAACACATGGACAAAGATAACAGTTCAGTGGGTACCAGGGGAAGGGAGGTAGAGGATGGGCACAGGGGGTGAAGGGGAGCACCATGTGGTGACAGACAAGAATAACGTACAACTGAAATTTCACAATGATGTAAACTATTATGAATCTCAATTAAAAATATTCATATATAAAAATTTTTTTAAAAATCTCTTCTACAGCCAGTGTGTTGACTGCACCCTCCTGGTGTCTCTAGAATTCCTCCCTTTGCTACATCCCACATCCCCCTCTGCCTTTCTCATCCGGCTCCCTGCCAAGGCCCCTCAGCGCATTCTCTGTGATTTGACCAGCGTGATCGCTCCCCAGCACAGCCTCAGGCTCAGGCCCCTTGGCAACACTCTTCCCATCCTCACATGGGAGCCACACTGGGCCGAACTGCTTTCAGTTCCCAAACACAAGATGCTCTTGTGCACGCAGCTCCCCTACCTTGCACATTTCCCCACACTGGTGTGATGGGGCTGACTCTCTCAGACACCAGCTCAGGCAAGCTTTCCTGCCTGGGCTTCCCCTGGGCCACTGATCACCCTGGGGGTTCTGGGTGTGTCAGCTCTTGTCTGCTCCCCTACCCACCTTAGGAGCCCGTCAAGAGAGGGGGGAAGCAGGTCTGATGCACTCGTGACCCCCAGGCCCAGAGCAGGTACCAGGACAAGTTTGTTGACTGAATAAGCAACCAGTGCACCCCAGACAAGACTGTTCGGTGTGGAACAGGGGAGAGAGCACAGGACTGGGGGTGCAAGCAGGACACTGGAGGCTGTGCCTTCAACTCTTCGGCTCAGATAAATCACTTACTCTTCCTGGAGCCCCACTCATAAGATGGAGGGATCAAACAAGCTCAAAACAGCCTTCAAAAGGCAAGCATACTATAGAAGTGCAGGAGAGTTGACTTTCACTGTTGGTCTCCTTCAGTGTCTCGGGCTGGGAAGTTCCTCCAGGCGTCTGACTTACATCCCTCTTGCTATAGAGAAGCTGGTTTTGAGACTGTGCTGCCTCCCAGAGATGCAGTCTTCAGGGGGCCTGTGGGGACGGCCTGAGAACTGTCTTCTGTCCTACCAAGTCCTTAATTGGCAGTATTAGAGTAATGAGTCACAGACAACAACCAATTAATTATCTCCAGTTATAAAAAGCTTCACTTCCCATCCACTTCACTGGCTGTAGAGTGAGCCGGCCTCCTGCTGCCAGGCTCCCCCACTCCCTCTGCACTGGGGGCAGGAGAATAGGTCGTTTCACCTCTGGGTCCTCAGTTTCCTGTTTCCTTATTTGTCAAGTGTGTGTCCTGGGGGGAGGGGACAGCCTGCCCTTGGAGGTGGTAGGAATGTGTTGGCTGGTGGGCAAGAAGGCAGGAGGCCAGCTGGGATGTGGATGAGGGGCCTCTGGAGAGGAGGGGCCTCTTCCCCACTTCTGGGCCCACTCTCCTGCCCCCCAGGATCCTCCAGCACCGCAGGGTCTGGAACACAGAGGGTTCCCAGTTGCGCAGTCAAGCCACTCCCTATCCTGTCCCAAATGTTCCTGTTCCAGCGCTCTTTCTCCTCCATCAGGCAACTCCCCAAGTCCTCCTCCCCGCCCCTCTTTTCTTCTTCCTGCAAACTCTCATTTAAAACACACGCGTCCTCCCGACTCCGGCCTCCCAGACTCTAGGTGTGACGTTGCCCCAAGCCTGGATTTCCCAACCCATAACAATGAAACAATTAACAGGCCAATGCATGTAAACACTTGCTCCCTGAATACAGTAGGTACTCAATAATTATCGACTCTTACACTTCACTTCCCAGCCAAGGTCAAGAGTGAAATGGTCTGTGGCTCACACCTGCCTGTCACCCCATTTCACAGGTGAGGCCCAGAGAGGTTACCTGACCCCAGGCTTCTCTGAGTTGGTAGGTGCAGGGGGCCTCCCTCAGGAGGACCTGAGGGGAGGCTGTGCCTGGGCGGGGGGAAGGGCAGGAAGTCCCCAAAAGAGGAGGGGAAGGCGTGACGAGGAGAGGCTCAGGCCCAAAGTGGCCCCGCGTCCCCTTGCTGAGGCCTCTCCTCCACCCCCAGGCCTGAGCTGAGAGGCTCTCCTTTCCCTCCCAACCTGTGCTTGCAGGGCTCACTCCACTGACAGAGCACCTTCTCTGCGCCAGCCCTGACTCTGAGACACCAGGTCACTGCCCCTTTCGCTGTGTCAGGCCAGAGAGCCCAGCCCCCATCATGGTCCCTGCCCAGCTGTCTGGGGAGGGACCAGGGAGAGAAAGGAGAAGAGAGGAGAGGGAGTGAGAGACAGGGTGAGCAGGCTGAGGCTGGGACCCAGGAATTGGGAGGGGGAGTGAGATGAGTGACAGGGAAGGGGGAGGATGCTGGCTCGTCCTCGTCCTCGGCTGGGAGTCTCAGGGTCGCCCGAGGTGAACTCAGCACTGTCTGCAGAGGCCCTCCACCAGAGCTGCCACAAACCCTGTCCCCTCCCCCAGCCAAGCTGGCATGGGGCCTCCTGGCCCCCCCGACCAGGCCCCCCAGACCTGGCATTTGCAGAGCCTGCGCCACGAGGGCTCCCAGGGAGCTTGAAGCTGGCCTCAGCTCACCACTTCCTCCACCCCGGGCCCTGCGTTGCCCACAGCCAAGACCCACCACTTCCTGGCTCCACAGCGCACCAAGCGGTGCGAGATGACCTGGGAGACCCGCCTTCCTCCAGTGTGTCAACCCCGACAGGCAAGGGGCTTTCTGCTTGGGAGTCAGCACCCCTCCCCTCCCTGCCTCAGCCTCAGCCATCCTCCCACCCCCACCCACACTGCCCAAGGCCAGATTGGAGCTCTGCTCCTCACTGGCTGTGTGACAGAGGCCCAGTCACTGCCATGCTGGCTTCTTTCTCCAGGTGAAACAGTGGCAAGGACATCTAGCTCCCGGGCTTGTTGGGAGAAGCACAGTGGCTGTGTGAGTGCTCAGCACAGCGCCTGGCCCAGACAGGCGGGGTGCCAGCTGACTGCAGTGCCTCTGACTTTCCCAGCACAGGGTGGCCCGGCTGCCGACCCCCAGTCGCTGGGGAGAATGGAGCTCGGAGCACAGCAGAGTGGCCAAGGAATTCTGGTGTCTTAACCCAACCTCTCGTCCATTTCAGAGATGGAGAGACCACGGAGTGGGAAATGACTTGTCTTACTGCCTGGTCATAGCTAGCACTGTGCTGGTCACTTCTCATCGTTATGCATCCGCCCAGCAGCTCCTTGAGAGGAGTGTGTGTTATTTCACAGGTGAGAAAGTTCAATGTCAAGTAGGTACAAATAGAAGCAGCACAATTTGAACTTGAGGTCTGCCTGACTCCCCCTTCAGGGCCTGCAGCACTGTGGGGCAGATCCTACGGCCATGTGAGAGGGAAAGGCTGTCCCAGGCAGGGCTGGGGTAGAGAGACTGGGGCTGCTGTCCCAGCCCCGCAGGGACCTGCTCGGTGGCCTCGGGCAGCCCCTTCCCTCTCTTGCCTTCCTCCTCTGTGTTGGGAACGGGGCCGTGGCAACGAATCAGGACAGGTGCCCATCAGGCAGGACCTGCTTCTCACCATTTGGATGTCCTGAACCTAGGCTCCTGACTCAGTCTAGCGCTCTGTCCCTCACCAGCACAGGCAGAGAAGGAGCACAGAGAGGCAGACAAGTTTCCCCAACCTCCCCATCCAGGTAGCCCGGAGATGCTGGGCCTCTGACCTTGGTTCCGCCCCGCCCTCGGCCACGCTAGCCTGTTCTGGGGCTGGCTGAATTTGGAGGCTGGCTTCTTTGTTCAGACAAGGAGGAGGGAGGAGAAAAGTTGTTTTCCAGGCAGCAAAGCTTTTAGATAAACACCATTTATCTCTCTCTCCATTCTCTCCTGAAGGAATTGAGTTCCTTCAGAGAAGAAACTGGATCCACCTGCTGATAGCGCCCCAGGGACGGAAGCGCGGCTCGGGGTCTGGCCTGGGGAGCTGGACACTGAAGGAGGCTTTCTTCATCCGGCTGAGCACCTGCTGCCAGCTTTGGCAGGCCTGTGGCTCAGGTGACTGGGCCCTGGTACCAGGCCATGGCCCTGCCAGCTCCCAGGCTCCAGGATGGCCTGGCCCACCTCCTCACCCTCCCTACCAGCCACCCACTTGCTTGCCTGTCCATCTGGATCTCCAGGAAGCTGAGATCTTCTGCTCACCTTGGGGCAACCCCTTCCTCGAGCATCTCTCCCTGCCCAGACCGTGGGAGCAGCCCAGCCCCCACGCTGTCGGAGGAGAGTTAACAGCTGGCTACATCCACAACAGGACAGCTACTTCCTTGCCCGCCTAGCTGGGTGGACGCAGGAATTACCAGGGGCCCATCTTACAGAGGGAGAAACTGAAACCCAGAAGGGGCCCTGGCCTGTCCAGAGCCACACAGCACAGTGACAGAATTGAGCCCCTCCCCCCAACCCTGGGGCTCCCTGGGGGCTTCTGCCCCCACCCCAGCATAGCTCACCGGTGTCGTGTCATCGTGGGAGCGCTGGTAGCGTTTCCAGCGGCAGCCGTAGATGCCCGTGAGGCAGGACAGGCACAGCTGTGGCTCATAATACTGCAGGGGCTGGTGTCTCACCATGCTCGTGCCCCGGGTCCTGGCGCCAGGCCCTCAGGCGCCCATGGAGGCCACCAGCTGGTCCTGTGGGAGGAAACAGAGCTGTGAGGCAGGGGAGGGGCGAGGAGTCGGTCCCAGACACAGCAAAGTCATTGCAGCCTAGGTCAGGGCTGGTCAGCCTCTGCACAGAGCCCTGCAGTGGGTCCCAGTGTCACTCAGAGTCAGAGGCCCCCACGTGCAAGTCCCCAGGACAGTCCCCTGCCACCCACCCCTGAGCTAATCACCCCCCGCCTCCAGCCACACTTGCCCAGCACACTGCTGCTGCTTCCTTTGCCTGGAATGCTCTTCCCCTAGAACCCTGAGTGGCTCCCTCCTTCCCCTCCTCTCCTCAGGTCTTTGCTCAAATGTCCTTTTCACAAGCAGACTTTCCCAGGTCACCTTCTGTAAAACTGCAACCCCTTCCCACATTCCCTCGGTCATTCTTAGCTTGTTTTCTCGATCATCTTCTCAAATCTAATTTATTTATTTTGTTTCTTGTCTGCCTACACCACCATAATGTAAGTTATGGATAATGTAAGGCAAGGATTTTGTCTGTTTTATTCTCTGCTGTAGCCCCAGAAACTAGAAGAGTGCCTAGCACAAAGACTTTCAAAATAACTTTTTTGAAATAAACCATCATAAAAGCTGACATGTATCGAGCAGTTAAAGTACACCAGGCACTGTGTGAACACTCTGCATTCATTGTCCCAGCTCATTGTCACAACCACCCGAAGTGGTAGGTACTGTGTCCTAAATCCATTAGACAGTTGAACAAACTGAGGCTCAGAGAGAGAAAGAGGCAGTGCCTGGCCTGCGGTCACATGGCTGGCTGTGGTCAATCAGGGAATCTGCTCTGGTGCCCCGGTGTTCATTCCTTCAGGCTCAGGGAGCCCAGCCCGGTGGGGCCTGCGGGCCGCTGCTGGCACAACGGGAGGCATCTTGTGGGTTGAGCTGCTGCCACCAGGAGCAACTGCCCCAGCCCTGCTTGGTGCCCTGGAGGTACCTGCTGAGGGCTCAGTGTCTTGGGGCCAGTGTTGGCCAAGTGTGGCCAGATGGCCATTGGCTTGGGCACCTCCCACACCCTGATTTCAGGCATCATTTGATTTTCAATGCCACTGTTATTATTGTCCCATTTTACAGATGAGGAGCCGGGGGCTCAGAGCAGCAAAACGACTTGCCGAAAGAGTCAAGACTCACTCTCTGGTCTGTGGGACTCCAGAAACTCAAAACCATATGTTCTGTACCAGGCAGGGTCCTAGGCCCTGAGACAGTGTGAACAGGACAGACACCGTGACCCCTCGGGCCCTCACAGGACCAGCGAGGGGCACAACCTGGCACTTACTATGCACCAGGCCCCGTTCCAAGTGCTGGCATGCACGAACTCTAACAGCAACACTGAGCTGAGTGTTATCAGTATGTTTTTATCCAGATAGAGTTCACACACCATAAAATCCACCCTCTGAAAGTGTATGATTCAGTCTTTAGCATATTCAGTTTTTAGTATAGTCACAAAGTGTGCAACCATCACCACTATCTAGTTCCAAAGCATTTTCATCATCCCAACAAAAACCCCACACCCATCAGCAGTCACTCCCTGGTTCGCCCCAGCCCACCCCAGCCCCTGGCAACCACTAATCTACTTTCTGTCTCTATAGATCTGGACATTTCATATAAATGGAATCATATGATACATGGCCTTTTGTGTCTAGCTTCTTTCCCTTAACATAATTTCCAACGTGGCTGCACCATTTTACATTCACAAAGTATTAACGATATCATCCCCATTTTACAGATCAGAAATCTGAAGCACAGAAATGTTTAGCCAGTTGCCGAAGGTCACACAGCAGAGCCAGGCGGTCAGGCTTCAGGGGACTTGCTCTAACCCAGGGGTTGGCAAACGGTAACTCACAGGCAAAATCTGACCAGCCACCTATGTTTGTTTAGCTAAGAACGGTTTTTCCATTTTCAAATAATCAAAACAAGAATATTTTGTGACACATGAAAATAATATGGGAGTAAATTTCAGTGTCCATAAATAAAGTTTTATTGGACACAGCCATGCTCATTCATTTACGTGTTGTTTATGGCTGCTTTCACTGTAAGTGCAGAGCTGAGTAGTTACAACAGGGACGTATGGCCCACAAAGCCTAAAATACTTACTGCCTGGACCATGCAGGGAAAGCTGGCTGACTCTGCAACCACCGGCTATAACGGCTCAGGAGCCGGTATGACAAATGCAGCGTACAGTGGAGACAAAGGAGGCTGTGGGCACTTAACACGGTGCAGGGGGGTCATGGCCGCTTCCTGGAGGCCTGGGAGACGAGCTCCTCAGACGCCACTATCTAAATGCCCACCCCAGGGCCTGTGCCACAGGGGCACGCTGGGCTTCAGGCCCACCCACGACTTCCACCTCTGGGCCTCATTCAGAGCCTCTGCCTACCCAGCTATGCCACCTGCCTCCCCCAGCAAATTCTAACCTCAGCACAGGGATTACAGCCTCCAGGCTGAGGGGGCAGACATGCATTAGGGGCTTCTGGGAATATCAACTGACCGGGAGCCTCCCAATTGCTGGGAATTGTCTGGTGCAGTCTTTGTGTCTGTGGCTCCCTAGAGAGGCATGGGGAACACGGTGCAGCTGCTGGGGGTTCTCTGAGCTGAGCTGAGCCCAGGCTCAGGGGACAGCACCGGGGATGCTGCCGCAGTCGGCTTAGTTCCCATGGGGTTGGGGAAGGCTGGGGGGCGGGTGGGGGATGCTCTCAGCTTCACTCCACTCCACTCCGGAAGAAGTGTGTGCTCACCGATGTGCTCCCACATGCACAGCCTTCCAGAGAGGTAAAGGCCAGAGGCCACAGCCAGGGAGCCAGCTCTCATCCTGGGCACCCTGAGATTAGGGACTCTACTGTCAGGTCGATGATCACATCTGCCTCCACTTCCGCAGGAAGGCAGGAGGCCGCTGATATGTAGAAAGAGGCCTGGCATCATTTTACCTCGGTCACTGACTTGCTCTGTGACTGGGGCTTCTCCCATGACTGCCAGGCTCTGTCCCCACCTGAGCCTTGGTTTCTGAATCTGTAAAATGGGGTAACAGCTTTTGCCTTGACTTCTATATGAGACCAGATGATGGGGGGCCAGGAGGGCACATGGATGCTATGACTGAGGTACAGCAGGTGGACATTCTGCGAGCAGGAGCCCACACCCAGGTTCCCTGCCCTCCCTCACATTCCTTTCCCAGGACCCCCCGACCCTGGACTGATTCTCACATGTCCTCTGCCTTCCCTCGTGCCCCCACACCCCCACCCTGCCACAACTGAGCATTACAGCCACCAAGGAATGGCATTTCCACTTCAAATCTGGAAACAAGGAAGTGGAACTACCTGCACCAGGCGTCAGCCCAGGCTCAGCGGATCATGGCCTGGGATTCACCTCTCCCAGGTGAGTTTTCACATACTTTATAACTGCAGGAGCATCTCCGGGAGGAAAGCTCTTCTCTTTCCTCTGTGTGTTCTCCTGGGGCCACCTCATCCACCACCCCCACGGCTTCGGTCACCAGGCGCAGCCGAGGCCCCCCCAGTCTCTGCCTCTCAACTGAGATAGCCAGCAGCTCCTGGCTGTCCCTGGGGGTTGTCGCCCAGGCCCTACAGACCTGGCACGGCCACACTGACCTCTTCACCACCCCCAGCCTGCTTCTAACACCCCTCAAAGCCCATTTCTCACCATCCCCTTGGCCACCGCCCTGGCCCAGGTCTCATCTCTCCCCTGGATGGGCAATATTCTGGCCTCCCTATGTGGGCTACACCCAGCAATCCAAGCTCTCACCTGCAGCCAGAGTGAGCTTCCTAACAGGTAAATGATCAGGATCCGGTCTCCGGCTCCTCCAGCCTCACCTTCCAGAACTTGCAGTCCCTTCATCCTGTTAACACCTCCTGATCCTTGGAGTCTCAGTTCAGATGTTACTTCCTCCAAGGAGCCCCAGGTTTGTTAGAGGGCTCCCCAGCTTCCCAGATCCCTGAGCATCCCTGATTCTTCCTGGGCACCCAGTGTGAGCACCGTTGACATGCCCATCTCCCCCATGGGATGACCTGAGTTATTCCCATGTCCCCAGTGGCCAGCACAGCACAGCAAGAGGAGGCAGCCCCCAGGGGCTCCCTGGACTATACTTCTGAGGAGGCCTGGACGTCCTGCTAACAGAGATGTGCTGCTCAGACACCAAGCTGTCAGACAAGCTCCCAGAGACCAGACGCCCCCGCCCTCCCCGCCCACCCCTCCTTCCTGCCAGGGCTAACGGCATTACTTAGGACCTATAGGTTCCTCCCAGCCACCTCCCAGGGCTGCTGATATCAGCCAAGTTCCCAAGAAATCCCCTGCCCAGAGCCACTGCTGGCCCTGGGACAAGAGAAAGCCCTCGCCTCTGAGCCTGATGCTCGAGGGTGCCCCTGAGCCCAAAGTCCCATTTTCCATCTGAATCCGTGGTCCCTGCCCTGAACGTCCACAGCCTCCTGTTGGCACAGGGAAGGGCCTTCCAGGAGGCAGGCCTGGGATGGAGCAAGGGTCCACTAGGGAGCAGGAGCAGGATGATGGGTGAGCCCTCACCTCCAGGATCTGCTCCTATCCCGACATCCTGGGAACATGCCTGGCCCACCTGTCTGCTCCTCCTCCCTCTCATGACTGCCAGGCTCTCACTGTCCCCAGACCCCACTGCCTCTGACCCCTAGCCCACTCTCTTTACTGAGAGTAGGAGTTTCCGACAGGTGTCAGTGCCTAGGTTTCAGCCTGACTTGCTGTGTGACCTTGGACAGGTCAATAGCTCTCTCTGAGCCTTACTTTTATCCATCTGAGAAATGGGGACTAGATGAGGTGACTCATAAAAGGGCCCAAGTCTGCAATAAAAAGGAATAAGACATTGAAACATGCTACAACATGAATGAGTCTTGAAAACTCTATGCTAAGTGAAAGAAGCCAGTTATAGACGGTGGTATGGGGGCCTGCCAGGCACCATGTGGAGCAATGCATCTGTGTCATCTCCTCATGACAGCCTTCCAAAGGAG